CCAGGGGTACTTGGCGTTGGCCGCCAACAGCGCTCCAGCGCGTCCCAGCCTGACTCCCGGAGTCACCCGGACTCTTTTAACAAACAAAGATGCTGAGGGTATGTTCAGCTTGTGGTCTCTGGCACTGCTCACCAACGAGGAAGTGTCTCTGTTGTGTGCAGGCTTTATTCTCATAAAGCTCGTCATCATCCAGCGGGAGTTTGTCCTGAAAAAACAGGTCGGCGTGGATAAGCCAGTTTCTGGCTTAACGTTGTATTTGTCGTCCTTTTTTGGAAACCAGGAGCTCCAGGTTTCATATGGCGCCCTTTCCAGAATCCTAGGTTGGGGTCCATCCAAAGCTGTGTACTCATGTTGTCCCACAGTGTCTTTGCAAACAGACCAGTAGAATACTGCGTCTTCAGGGTCTCTTCACTGTAGTGGAGAACAGGCTCTATATAGGCCTTGTAAGGGGAGTAGTTATTGCTCTGGCCAGACCTTCTGCCACAGTGATGTCAACCTGACAGACAAGGGTGGCAAGGGGTTAATTCTCCAGGCCCACACGGGCTGCTGTCTCAGTGTCTCCACCGTCTGCCTCCATTATTTTACAGGTCAAATAGAGCAGCCCGCTGTTAAATCTAAATAATCTTCCCCTTTTGTTTGTTATGAAAAACCCAAAGGAGCATTAGGGCCGCGAGGCTGAACCTCTATGTAGAGGTTCTCCATCTCCGACTCCGTGCATGCCGCAGGTCCGCAGCGTTTGAAATAAGTGTCGTCGGCTTCAACGAGACGCGGTTCTCCTCTCGGTCGCCCTGTCTCTTTTACGGGAGGTCTGGCCTTGTTGGCCCCTCGTGCTGAAATGCTGAGGTCCGTCTTTTTGCCTTGCCTTCCGGAGGCGGTGGTGTCACTTTAGGCATTTCGCCGTGTCTATGGCGACGTCACGTGCAGCTTGGCCATTTCAAATCTCCGTTTCAGAAAAGGCCAGGCTTTCCTAAACAGGGCTCTAACTGGACCCCCTATACCCACGCCGTATTGGACCGGATTCCACGAAAATCCGGGCAATACGTATCCTGCTCGGTTCTGGCAGCAGCTTGTGTACAAAGAAGGAGCTCTGCAGCTCTCAATGACCGTCTCCTTTTAAATTTCTGCTGATGTCACAGGCCGGAACTGCAGCTTGATGGTTACCTTACCAAACGCGGATGGCACGTGCTCACAAGGATCCGTCTCTTGTTCAGCAGCGATGGTGTTAATAATAAGGTGTTGAAATGATCGACGCTCACTGGTTGAGTAACGGGGCTGGTTGCAGCGGACAGGGTGAGAGTCACCCCGACAGCAGGACGGACAGGGGTCGCCTTCCCGAGCATGAGCTTGCCTTCACATTCACCAAGACCGCTGCAGGCTTCGGAGCGCCACTGCGTTCCCATCAACAGTCAACTGATAACTTTGACAAGTGACGGATAGCCAACAACTGCTCTGCCTAAATGCCAAATAAAAAGACGATGCGAGAAGGCTGTGCTGAAATCGTTCCAAGTTCCACATTGCAGTAGCCCATCCTCTCATACCTCTCTCTACTGACGGGGACAGCAGGTGGGTAAACGAATACGGCACATCCAGGTGCGAACCCGCCCCACACTGGCCCATACCTCATAGTAGAGATCAGGAAACTCGGGTGTGGAAGAGCTGATGCTCCGCAGGTCTGCGGGCTCCCATGGCAGCAGTCGGCACTTCCTGATGACCGGGTCGGTCTCTCCGTAGGCGTAGTCGCGAGTCACTTCATCTGCGAGCGAGACCAGCGAGTTATAATTTCATTGCCTCTGAAGGCTAGGACAGATTTACGTAGACTGATCTCAGAAATAAACATGGAACGAGGAAAGGTACCAAGACGACCCAGGACAGCTGCCTGGAAGCGCTAAGAGGCAGTGTTGTGAGGAATCTGTGCATCATAATTTATTGAGAGAGATGGGCTTGTGAATCCATCCATTGTAAAGATGAACTAAGTGGTTATGAGCATTCCCTGCACACCATCATCTCTTGCCAAAAAAAACAGTCTTGACAAGAAATATTTCATGGAGCGTAAAGATTAAAATGAATTTACAGCTTTTTCCTCTTTAGTTTTAAGTGCTGTCAAATGGCTTAGAACATGTACTGCCCTTTCACACAAACCTCATCTTTCAATGGAACAAGCCCATGTGAAGTAAGTATTCGCAATACATGCTAGTCAAAGAAAAGCACTCTGAATAGTATAGAAATGCCTGCAGGCTGTGGCAGCTTAAGAATAATGGGACAGTTTGAAACAGGGCACAAATACAGTGATATTGTGTCAGACACTAGAAATAAAATGCAATTCTTATTTCAAATTTGTCAAATTTGTGCACTTCCTAAACACTTCTTCTTGACTGGAGAAGGCTCCCAGAGCTGGGATCTGTTAGTGCACAGAGTATCTGTGCTCCAGGGGGAGTCTGGTGCAGCAATCAGGGGGCTGCTTTGGCACCAGCACGTGGGCACTTCCTGAGACCCAATAACAGGGGGTCAAAGGTCACACGAGGCATCAGCTCTGGAATAACTCTACAGCCACTCTGCAATGCACCATCTAAAACAGGCGAGTTATGCCAAAGTGCTGATACAGTGACATTATTTTGTTGCATATTTCAGTGCATGTGACCGAGTGGGAGCTCCTTCGCTGGCTCAGCCACTTGGATGCTCTCTTATATTTGTGGTAACATTTGACCTGAATGAGGCTGAAAACGCTGTCATAACTCCGTCATTAACACCAAACATGATGATATAAAAGGAACGATTATCATAGTCATTTGTGCAAAGGACATTACAGGCATGGAATTACTTTCTGTGCAGCCAAAACCTTTAAGAAGGACTCCAGGCAGAGGGAAGTCCAGATGAAAATGATGGAAGACTTCGGAGAGCAAAAAATGATTTTCTGCAGATGCAAGGGTGCGATACTCCTGGTGTATTTATGCAAAATGGTATTTTGCTATATGGCTTTTATGCCTGTTGTTTTATTAGTAGTGTGTTTTATTTAGTTTATTAGTTTTATTTTATCATGTAGTGAGGGCTGCCTCAGCTCCTGAAGGGCCCTGACACTCCCCTGTCTGTGGCACTGCGACAGGGTCTGATCGTACCTCCATTGTCCAGGTCCTGCAGTGGCCACAGCACGGTGTAGGCCACCTGCTCGGGCATGTGGAAGAAGGGGGCCATGCAGCAGGTGGGCTCGTCAGAGTGCTGCACCTGGGAGCCGAACTCGTCAACGATGTACCACACGGGCACTTTCTCCTCAGCAGTCTGCAGAAGAGCCAGGAGGACACGAGCTCTTGATGTGCTTTTGGACAAAAATATTCCCACTGAGGACTACTCCACAAGTGGGCTCCTCAACAACAGCACTGACAAAATGTAATCAAGGCCATGTGATGCTGACACTTGGCTCCTGCTGCTGGGTGCTGGTTTGAGGTGAAGCACAGCAAGTAATTTCCAACCTCATCTGAGAAACAATGCAAGGGGAAAGAGGACAGAGAGAGTCCCCGCACAACACAGTAACACAAGGGGAAAGAGGACAGAGAGAGTCCCCGCACAACACAGTAACACAAGGGGAAA